TCCGGACCTCAGTTACCTCATCTGTAATAACACGAGGCTGTGAGGCCTGGACGGTGTAATACATGTAAAGAACTCAGAAGAGTGCCCAGCACAGAGTGATTGTAGACGTGCATCATTATCTTTACCATAAGAGTTGCTGTCCCACAGGCGGGTTCAGGGGTCTCACAGCAAATGAGGGGGTTGGGACATTTCACATTCATCTTAACCCTGTCGCCTCCAAGACTGATGCTTATGCCCTGACTCACAGCCAACTGCCCCTCCATGAGCCTCCTAACTCTTCCTTGCACTGTTTATTCTCCAAATGGGTGCCCTTTTAAGCATAAAGCAGACAGTAAACTCTTCAGTGGCTCAACGTTTTCCCTTTCTATTAGAATAGATCTCAAAGTCCTGCAAAGGGCTGCCTCCCTCACCACCCTACCTTCACCTTACTTAGCATCACCTCTGTCACCAGCGTCACAGCAGTTTGTCTTCTGGTCCTCAGATATTTTCTTTCCTACCTGTGGGTTCTTTCTAATATTCGTGTTTTCTTTTCAGTGCCTTAGTGTAATATTTTAAATTTCTTCATTTGGGCCCTGTATATTCCCTTTTTTTTAGATGTCTTTTTAAAAAAAATTCTTATTGAAGTATGGTTGATTTACAATGTTAGCTTCAGGTATACAGCAAAGTGATTTGGTTATACACATACATACATATATATTTTTCTTTTCAGATTCTTTTCCATTATGTCATTACAAGAAATTGAATATGGTTCCCTGTGCTATACAGTAAGTTCTTATTTTTAATCTATTTTATGTATAGTAATGTGTGTCTGTTAACCCCCAACCCTTAATTTAGCCCTCCCCACCCTTTCTCCTTTGGTGACCATAGTTTGTTTTCTATGTCCATGCGTCTCTCTGCTTTTGGTTTGTAAATAGAATTTGTCTTTTTTTTAGATTCCATATATAAGTGATATCATATATTTGTCTTTCTCTGTCTTATTTTACTTAGTATGACAATCTCCAGGTCCATCCACATTGTTGCAAATGGCATTATTTCATTTTTATGGCTGAGTAATATTCCATTGTATATTGTATATATACCACATCCATTTTTTTTATTATTATTGAAGCCTAGTCAGTTATAATGTGTCAATCTCTGGTGTGCAGCACAATGTCCCAGTCATGCATATACATACATATATTCATTTTCATTAAAGGTTATTATAAGACATTGAATATAGTTCCCTGTGCTATATAGAAGAAATTTGTTTTTATCTATTTTTATATGTAGTAGTTAATATTTGCAAATCTTGAGCTCCCAGATTCATCCCTTCCCTCCTCCTTTCCCCAGTAACCATGATTGTTTACTATGTCTGTGAGTCTGTTTCTCTTTTGTAAATGAGCTCATAGTGTCCTTTTTTTCCTTTCTTTGGATTCCACATATGTGTGATATCATATGGTTATTTTTCTTTC